GGGGTCTGAATACTTTCCGTACCCACTGTATATATATATATGTCATCTGAGCGGTGTTTGAGACACAGCGCCTGTGATCTTCAAATCCATGCATCTTCATGTTAAATTCATGAGTGTGGTGAAAGATGAACTATTAAATGATGCTGCAGACGGCATTCAGCCCGACTAGCATCTGTCTCTGTGTCTAATTCTCCGTTATAATGTGCCTCCTCAAACACTTAACCTGATATTCACCCCATCGCTTACACAGATAAACGCTCTGAATAACAGCTAATCAGCAGCGCTCTGCAGCAGCTACTGAACTCCAAATCAGTCTGCAATTACCCAGCATTCAGTGCAGATGTTCCTGTGAAAGACGTCAGTGCAATGAAACGCACAGCTGTGTCGGTCTGAGCTTATTTCTGAACGCGTCGCTGACTCGCTCAGTTCTGCCGCTACGACTCGTTCGAGCGACTAGTCGTGGATCACGTGATGCTAGCCGCACTTGTGCAGCGCACTGAGGAAAGACTTATAAAATCAGCTTTATTTATTCACATATTCCATTTCATTTATTTTGTTCAAAATGTTGTTTTTAAATTAAAATTGTATTTTAATGGTTAAATTAATTTTCAATGAAAAGCCTGCATGATTAATTGAAATCAACACATTAACAACAATTTATTAAAAGTGTATCGAATATTACATTTTAAATCTGTTTTATTTATTATTTTTTGCATATTCCATTTTATTTATTTACTTTCTCTATTCTGTTTTTTTTTCGTTTATTTTGTTTTAATGGTTAAATTGAATAACTATAAAGCATAAAATTATTTGACTATTAAATGTATACAATTGAACAACAACTTAAACATTTACTAAAAATTTAATTACATTTTTAAATGATTATTTTACAAAATCACATTATGAAATATCAGATTTTTGATTAAATGAATTAAATCATGAAACTTATAAATGTATCAATAATTTAACAACAATTTATAAAAAGTATAACAAAACTTACTTTCAAAAATTACTTTGCTTTTTGTTTCATATTCATACATTTTATTTAATTTTCCCCAAAATTCCATGTTTTCAGTTTTATCTTTTTGTGGATTCTGTTTTAATAGTTTAATTCACTTTTAGTAATCAAAAAGCATGTCTAAATAAATGAAATAATGAACCTTATACGAATGTAACAATGTTAAAAGTTTCATGTTTCCGCCACATTCTGTGTTTTCCGTTTAAATTTTTCAGATTTCCATCTTAATATTTTAATTACATTTTAATAATCAAAACGCATGTCTATTCAACTGAACTCGTAACAACTTATTCATTTTTACAATATTAGGGCCCTGTAAAATGTTAAATTTTTCTGGATTTATAATTTAATAGAAATTAATATCAAAAACAGTGGTAATCAACTAAAAATGAATATTTTAAAAATGTAATAAAATGACAACTCCAGAGCAGACGAACAGAGAGACAGACGGGAAACACACACTGATAAAGAGCCAGCGGGAAAACTGGTTGGTTTCTATGGAAACGGCTGGAAAATGTCTGCAGAAACACTTAATGTAACCCTTCCTTCAGAAAGCTGGACTTCAGGACGGTTTCAGTTCTGAAGACAAAAAAACAGATGTTTAGCAGAATGTTCACGCTGCTCTTTCCAGACAACAAAAATCACAGAGATCTCATGCACTTTAGAGCTCAGCCAGGAATGAAAAAGCGTGGCTAATTTATTGAAATCATTACAAACAACACTTTATGAAACGTTTATCAACAATTATACAGTTAGGACCCTATGAAATTCATTTATTTATGTATTCATTTATTTCAGCAAATATAATTTTATTGGATTTATTGTCTTTTTTTTCTCAAATTAAATTAAATCATGAAACTTAATACAATTTAACAGCACTTTTAAAACAGTAAAGTAAAAAAAACAACATTTTAACAACAACAACAATAATACATTTGATTAATTTAATTTGAAACAGAAAATACAAGTAGTT